AAAGACTTGGAAGAAAGGCTGCGTGATTGTTTTGTATGCGGTTTAAGGAACAGAGACTTACAGCAGAAGATCTTCGCTAAGGAAGATGTTTCTTTCCAAGATGTTCTGCGAGAGGTTACAGCAGAGGAAGCAGCAGGTGGGGCGGTAAAGAATCTGCGGCCCACCAGAAGCTCTCTAGAGACAGTCACTTTTCACCAGGAGATCGTGCGAGAGGATTCGGAGGAAGATCCTGAAGAGGAGGTGGATAAGCTTCACCAGGCAGCTGGAAGGAATGCACAGAAAAGGCCTCAACAGCTCTTCAATGCTTCAGATGTGGAGGGCGCCACAAATGAGCTGACTGCCGGTTCCGTTCCGCCATTTGCAGAGCATGCGGCAAGCAAGGCCACATCGCATCCATCTGTTTGGGTTGTCAGAAGGTACAATCTAGAGAAGAATTCCATCTGAAAGGTACCAGGGTCCCCAGCCAAAATAGGGTGGGTTTCTGCGCAACGCGCAGAAATATTTTAAGGATAGGCACACATAAACCCCTTAAGAAGAAACTATCCCTTAAATTAAGGTTGCAAGGGGTTCCTTTATCCAAGGAATTAGACACTGGGTCCGCTCTCTCCATTATTTCCCTCAACACATTCAGGAAAATTTGCAGCAGCAATGGCCTTCTAGCTAAACTCAGACCATCCAATGTAATACTCACAGACTTTCAGAATTCTAAGGTGTGTGCTAAGGGGGAGGCCACCCTTAAGGTACAGTACAAGGATTTTGAAGGTCCCTTAGATGTGTTGGTTGTTGGGGGTGAACGCACGAGTCTTATTGGATTTGATTGGTTCAAGTCTCTGGGAATCCAAGTTACAGGGCTGCACAATTTGCAAATGTGGAGCCTGGCATAAGTCTGCAAGGAATTTGCGGATGTGTTTAGCTCTGAGCTTGGAACCTACAAGGGGCCTCCAGTTTCATTATGATTAGATCCTGCCATAACGCCCATCAGGGTTAAGCCCAGGAGGGTACCATTTGCTCTCAAGAGCAAGATTGATGCTGAACTGGACAAATTGCTCCAGCAGGACATCTTAGAACCTGTAGATTCTAGTCCATGGGAAACCCCCATAGTAACGCCTCTAAAGACTAATGGGGACATACATATATGTGCAGACTACAAGTGCACACTAAACAAGGCACTGCAGTAGCACGCTTATCCAGTACCTGTAGTAAGCCACATCCTGGCTTCCCTCAAGGGGGGGGCATTTTTGTGAAGCTTGACCTGGCACAGGCCTATCAACAGTTGCCTGTTGATGAAGCAGCTGCTGAGGCTCAAACAATTGTAACCCATAGAGGGCCTTTAAAGTCAAGAGATTGCAATTTGGGGTGAATGTAGCCCCTGGCATATTCCAAAGTGTTATGGAAAACACCCTGAGGGGTATTCCTGGAGTCTGCCCGTATTTTGATGGTGTTCTCATTGCTGGAGAATCATCTCAAAACTTGGCAGAGAGATTAAGGGCTGTCTTGCTTCGTTTTTGAAGAGCAGGCCTTAAGTTAAAGAAGGACAAGTGTAAGATAGGAGTCAATTCTACTGGCTTTTTGGGATTTAGGATAGATGCTCAAGGCATTCACTCTTCTGAAGCTAAATTGAAAGCCATTCTGCAGGCCCCAAGCCCTAAGTCTAAGGGTGAACTACAAGCCTTTTGGGGGCTATTAAACTTTTACCATGCATTTCTGCCACATAAAGCTGCAATAGCTGAACCTTTGCACAGGCTCTTAGACAAACAAGCCTGTTGGCAGTGGACTAAAGTCCATGAAAAAGGTTTCAATGAGGTTAAAGCCTTGCTTACTTCCAATGCAGTGCTAGCTCACTTCAATGAGCAGCTACCTGTGTGCATTGACTGCGATGCATCTCCATATGGGGTGGGAGCCGTACTTAGCTACCTGAAGGCTGATGGGACACAGGTCCCTGTGGCCTACTATTCCAGGACCCTGTCTTCTGCAGAGCGTAATTACACTCAAATTGACAGAGAAGCATTGGCTATTGTGGCTGGCATTAAGAAGTTTCATGATTTCATATACGGCCACCACTACAAGCCCTTGTTGGGGTTGTTTACCACTTCCAAACAAACTCCACATATTTTGTCTCCTCGTATGCTGTGTTGCTCTATTTTCCTGTCAGCATATGACTACACGTTGATTCACAAACCTGGAAAGGAAATGGGTCATGCAGATGGCCTGAGTAGATTACCCCTGCCAATCTGGGAGCCTGATCCTGCTCCAGCCATTAATGTTCTGTCCATTCAAGAGCTGCCTGAGTCTCCCCTCAATGCTAGGGATGTGGCTGCAGAAACTGCCACTGATCACACGCTTACACACATGCTGACATGGGTGTTGTCAGGATGCCTGACTCATGCCCGGATACTGAGTTCCAAAGTTTCTGGCAAAAGTGGCATGAGTTGTCCACTTTCAAGGGATGCTTGTTATGGGGTAGTAGGGTGGTAATCCCAGCCTCATTGAGGTCTAGAATCTTAATCTCTCTGCATGAGGGACACCCTGGGATAGTCAGGATGAAAGTGCTTGCGCGCAGCCATTTGTGGTGGCCTGGCCTTGATAAAGTCACAAGGCCCAGGTGCATGGGTGCCATGTGTGCCAACAGTCCCGGCCTGAAATGCCTCAGGCCCCAGTTCACAGGTGGGAGGAAACTCAAACCCCGTGGTCTAGGGTATGTATAGATTACGCTGGGCCCTTTCAGGGGCAATTCTTCCTGGTTGTTGTTGATAGTCATTCCAAGTGGCTAGAGGTTGTTCCGGTGTCCTCCACTACTACTGCCATGACTATCCAGGTGTTGTGAGGAATTTTTGCAGCTCATGGCCTTCCAGATGTTCTGGTTTCAGATAACGGTCCTCAATTTACCTCTTCTGAGTTCCAGGCTTTTTTTCAGGCCAACCTGATCCACCATGCAACTTCGGCTCCTTTCCACCCATCCACCAATGGAATGGCTGAGCATATAGTGCGTACCACCAAGGATGCCCTTAAGAAACTGACTGGCATCACAGGTTAGCAGACTTTCTTCTTGCACATCGCACCACACCTTGCACAGCCACAGGGAAGAACCCTGCTGAACTTTGCTGGGATCACCGGCTCATCACTAAGTTAGACAGATTGCATCCTGACCAGGTGGCGTCTCAGGTGTTGCAACCTCGGGCACCGAGGAGTCTGCAAGTGGGTGCTCCGGTCTGGACTCGGAACTATGGGCCCGGTCATCTCTGGGTACCAGCTGTGGTCTGCAAGGTCTCTGGACCTTTGTCCTATGAGGTGACTTTGGAGGACAGCCGCATTCTTCGGCAGCACATAGACCAGCTGCATTGGTGGCTGGACTCTCACCCTTCCACTCCTGGCTCTGCTCTGGGGGGGGGGAGGAAGATGATAATATGCATTCTGAGGATCAGTATCACAGGCATTCACAGGCCGCTGAGGGGGCCATTGGTGATCCATCTCAAGTTTCCACAAGTGCTCCGAACAGGAATTCATGGGGCAGTGGGTCACCCCATACACCCATACTTACTCCAGCCAGGAAGTCACACAGGGGGTATCCACACTATTCATACACAACCAGTAATGCTCCAGATAGGGAGACAGACCAGGGGTATCCACACAACTCACATCCGACAAGAGAACTGGCAACACAGCATGGGGGCTGGCCAAATTCCGCAACTGCTCCCAGAAGGAAGTCCTCTGGAAAGGGGGCAAACAGAGAGGCAACTCCTGACTCTGGCACTTTAGGCATGACCTTGGGGTCCACGGGGGTACTGGGGCCCTGTAGACACCCCTGACTCTCCATCTGCTGACCTTGGGTTCCAGGGACAGTGCTCCCAAGGAAGGTCCATTGTGGATCCGGGGAATACCACCCCTCCAAGGGATGCTGGGTTGAGCTCAGAGGGCCCAGCCAGCCAGCAGATGGGCAGGTCGACCAGGTACTTGGGGTAGCAAAGTCCTGACCTACTGAGCCTGGCAGGCAAGCAAGTAGGTCAGGCATCAACACCAGGGTCACCTGAGGCAAGTGGGCAGCAACATCTTGGTTTCTCAACCCGGTGGGCGAGGAAAGGGACCGAACAAACTCTTCCGGTCCGAGGAGGTCGCAAAGGGCCAAGTGCCCACCCAAATATCTTTCAGATTTTGTGAAGTTGCTGTCCAGTTCCAGGGGTAATGCCCTCAATGTCATAGACTGATAATGTTATTTTGTTTTATTTATGATTTCGGGTATAGTTATTCACCAAAGCAATGGGAAGACACTTGTGTGTGGAGGCAACCTCAGGCACTCCCTTCCATGTTTGGCTGTGAGGAAGTATGACACTCTTCCCAAAGAAGAATGTTAAAAATGACAGGAGTGATTCAAACTAGTGGGGAGGGGTGTTGTGTCCTGAGCCTGCAAATGCAGGCTTGGGACGTTGCAATGGTTCCGGGCTTTGCAGAAGCTGCCCGGGACCAGACTGAGTGGCGCCAGCTTTGCGCGCATGCACAAGGCGGGAAAAGTGCCTGTTCTCTGTTGCCATTGTGTCTGGGGATTTGGGCGTATAAAAGGAGGCCTGCGTGCCTTTGCTCGTTGTTGGAGCTTTGGCTGAAACTAAATAGTGTTCCTGGAAAGATGTGTCATCATCATTTGCCATTATTGCGAGGACTTAACAGATATATAGTACAGTTCTGCATTGTGTAGGAGATTTACTCGCACATGGAAATCACAATATCATACTTGTAAATACTGTGAGACAATGCAGAAAACATCAGGATTCAGATTTTTGACCTGCCAACTACTACACTAATCAGCTATTCAGTTTTTCAAAACTTAAAGTAAAGTCTACACAACTGTACACGCATATATTTATGCAATGTGTGCAAAAAATAGATAATGAATGTCTTTTATTCTAGAGACAGAGAAAATTACAGGCTGAATTGAGTTTAGCTTCATTTCCATCTTATTTTTTAAAAGCATCTCTAACTTGCAATAAAAATGAAAACAAACACTTGCATTTTTTTTTCCTGAGAAAAATATTGGGTTTTTAATATCTATAAATAGGATCCCATGAAGATCTTTATCTGTGTATCTGACATCCTCAGCAAACAGTAACCACATTCCTAATTTAAATCTCTTTGTGTTTATAAGAAGTTACACTTAATGAAGCCAGATTATCAGTAGAATTCATTTTCCTCATGATTTGACTGGACAAGACAAAGGTATTATAGGTTTAAATGGCTAGGTGCAAATTTTTGTCTAAGTCATAAACTAGTTTATTTGGCTTTGGCTCTTGTGCGCTTAACTGTTCTAGTTTATTAACCATAATTTATAGCATACATCCAGCCAATTGCTGTTGGACATGACTAAACATGCTGTGGGTTTGCTCATTGTGGGAACCAAACAATGATAGCAGTGAGATTTAAATTAGTCACGACATACATAAAGGCTATTGATTTAAATTGATGCCCTCTAAATATGACAAAGTTTGAAACCAATCTCATTAATTTATAGCATCTGCTTTTAAAGCCAATTAAAGTAGTGGACACCACCAGAACTTACATGATTAATGTCATATATATGTTTATCAGAAAATTTAAGATGATCTTTTTTCTTAAAAAAATGCCTTTTATCATGAATCTGCAGTTTATTGTAAACAATATGTTCAAAGTTCAACAGCTCTGACATTTTTACATAGGATATAAGAACAAAAAGTATTTATGTTCATTGTTGCCTTTACATAGGCAATTGTTTTCATCTTTCTAAATGTCTCCACGGTGTGAGAGTTCAACATCTTTTACTCCTCCACTTTGCTGCCCTGTTACAATTGTAAGTCTGCTGAAAGGAATTATTTTCATAATTGTTTTCTTCATGGAATACCATTGATTATGCCAAGTTGCCCAGGTAATGCCATTGTCATTGCCACTTGGACCAACATCTTTCTCACTATAAACACCTCCTACAATGTGAAAAAAAGTAAAACATAATTGATCCAAGAAATACTTTTACATAGCTTTGAGATACAAAGATAAGTAGTAATTTTAAGACCATGCTAGGTGAGCATTATGTAATTTCATTTACTCTGTTATTAAGTACAACATGAATGGTATCAAACTGCTATAGACATTGTGTTTCTTTTAACATTTCTGCATGAATTATGATCGAAAGTTGGAATTTGCTATGTGCTGGCTACCAGTTTGGCTGGTTTCCAAAAAAAGAAAAGAAAAAAAGGACTGCATCAGTTCATGAAAGTCACAAGGAGCAATGGCTATTAACCTTGATGTCAATGTGACTGTCCCTGAGAGACAGGGTCCAAACCAGCAAAGACATATTCAATCTGCTCCTTATGTTTTTATGCTTATTTAGAAGTTCCGTAGGATTAAATCAGATTGATCTTTTAATGGGTATGTTTAATTTAGGTCTAATAAGCAAGAAATTTATGTTGCAGACATTTAGCTCTCTTTTTTAAAAAGGGGAAGGAGGACTTGAACTAAAACCTACTTAAAATACTTGATATGGAAGATATCAAAAGACATTGTTAAACTAAACTCCACTTTTCCTCCTTAATGATATTTTGTGGAAAAAGACAAAAATGCTATGAAGAAAGGCTACATGTTAGTGTTATCTGTACCACCTCAGTAAAAAACTACTGGGAAAGACAGAAAGCAGGTGTATGGGAAATGTTTCATTCAGAGATCGCATTGTGCATGTGGGAAACTTCCAAATGTTACCTTGATAATATTTGCCATTCAGATGGGCAGCGTGACATTTGTTCATCCACCATCCAGATCCATCTTGTTCAGCGCAGTTGCCTTCATATTTATCATTATCATTGTCATGCGTGCTAAACTGCATGCCGTTGTGAGAAGTAAAAAATTTGTCACTCGGATCATTTCCAAAATCAAACCCATCAAAGGCATCCCCAGCTTCACCCCCAACAAAGAAGGCATAGGTCAAACGGTATTTGTCAGCTTCATTTCCCAACTTGAAATGGGCATAATCTGCATACCTGTGGGGGGGGGGGAGAAGAAAAGAAAATCACTATTAACTTCTTGTGGCCTTTTATTTCTTGGGCATTCAGTTGCATGACCTGATGCAAATATTTCAAGGGTTTGCACTCGTTCCTGAAAAATTAATTTCAGGAGTTATACAAATACACAGGATATACATAGACAAGCAAATAATGGGAAAAAAATGATCATCCTTGCTGCAGACACTGCTGAAACAACTATTTATTTGAAACTGCTGAAGCAAACTAACCCTAGGTCAGAGGTCTCCAACCTTTTGGGCACCAGGGACGGGTTACGTGGAAAGAGTTTTTTTTCGTGGACCGGAGGGTATGTGTTTTTGTGTGCTGCCTGCATCCTGTGGATGGAGCTTTCTTGTTTGTGCGGACTGGTTGCTAGCATGCCGTGGCCCTGTACTGGCCCACGGACCAGGGGTTAGGGACCCCTGCCCTAGGTAATATTATAAGGCTAAAAGCAATTCAAGCTCCACTAATTTGAATGGATTTGAAATATGTTTAGCTTGAAGAAGCATTATAAGTTGCAGTGATCTTATCGTACCACTACCTGTAAAAGTGCAGGCAGCTAAACTAGCCATTTTTTGCCGATCACCGTTAACGTTAGCTATGAACCTTGAGCTGATAACGAAATCTATACCTTTTTTGGTTAGACCAATCTTCCATCTCTACTCTCAAGGCATATGGAACTGTAGTCTGCGTAGTTATTAAATGAATCTTCTCATTTCCCAACCAGAATTCTGTATTGTCATTTGGTGACAGATGTCCAAATCCTTCCTTATATTGAATCCAGTTTTTGTTAAAGTCTTCACTGCCATCAAGCCTCTATAAATAAAACAGAAGATGGAGAGAGATTATATAGGTCAGTGTTTCCCAAACTTGACAATTTTAAGGCATGTGGACTTCAACTCGCAGAATTCCACAGCCAGCAATGCTGGCTGTGGAATTCTGGGAGTTGAAGTCCACATGCCTTAAAATTGTCAAGTTTGGGAAACACTGATATAGGTTATTAGACCCGGTGCTCCTTTGTTGTAATTTCTTTTCTGTGATATACTTACTCTTTGTAAAACTGTCCACCCGTTGCCCAGAGTGTCAATTTCACAGTACACCAGGAACTGTTGATTGGCTTTCAAGGGTTTTATGAAGTACAGCCCACTCTGCCGGGCACCTTTATTAGCAATGTCTTGACAATCTATTATTAACATGTAAGAGAGAAGTGTCTAGTAAAAACTGCAATCCACCATATTCATTGTTAATTAATAAAAACCTTCTTTATTTTAAATGATAGTTTAGCTCAAAACAATGGGAACCAATCTTTGCCTTAGCATACTGAATAAAGGAAGGAACTATAACTTGGTTTATTTCCAAACCTTAGTACAGTGTTTCTCAACCTTGACAATTTTAAGGCATGTGGACTTCAACTCCCAGAATTCCACAGCCAGCATTGCTGGCTGTGGAATTCTGGGAGTTGAAGTCCACATGCCTTAAAATTGTCAAGGTTGAGAAACACTGCCTTAGTATATTATGGAAATAGCAACTGTCTTTGTGATTAAGCGTGTTATGTGAAACTAGCCAATATAGATGAAGAAGGCCTGATGGCTAATATGTTTAGAACATGTCTGCAAATGTTTCCATTAGTCCTCATGGCTATGACTTCTCTAGGAAGCCCATTCAAGAATTATTGGTGGTCCTACACAAAAGCTGATATGGGAATAAGTAAAGCAACGTGAGCAGAATTATAAAGTATATTTTTTTGTTTGATACTTCATTATTATAAAACTAGTTTCTATTTTGTTTCAACAGATATGAACATAGATCTGTTTTTGAACTTTAATATTTCGTCTGAAAGTGGCACCTCATTGATCTTCACAGCAAACTTACAAAACTGGAGCTAGAAAAAAGTGTCCTAGCCTAGGCTATTGTCTAAGATATTTTTTTAAAAAAGCATTAACAAATATTTGTGAGGCACAAAAGATCAGGTCCACATGTGAAGGTCTAATTAAACTGATTTAATGCTATTCATGCCTATACACATGAATATTCTCAACTGACAATTAACATCTACTAGGACAGTGGTGGCGAACCTATGGCATGGGTGCCAGAGGCAGCATTCGGAGACCTCTCTGTGGGCACATGTGCCATTGCCCCAGCCTTGCCTCCCCCCACGACCCCCTCCAACAGCCCCCCTGAAGGAGAGTCACCCCTGAGCGTGGCCCACACAGAGCAGCGCAGCCAGGGACATGGCAGGCAGGCAGCATAGACAAGACTCTGCCCTCACACCCCATCATGCACAGTTGATGTTGCAGGGTGTGGGCAGAGGGCGTGACCGCCATAGCGCTGCTGGGCTGCCTAGGTGATCTGCGGCGGGCCCTGGAGGCAGTGAGTGGTCCTGCGGGCAGGTGGGGCAGGGGATGGGGGTGGAGCGGGGGCAGGGCAGGGGGTAGAGTGGGGGTGGGGCCAGTTTTGGGGTACTCAGTCTCTAAAAGGTTCTCCATCACTGTACTAGGAGTTAGATAGGGTCAATAGAATTGGGTGTGTGTGTGTTGAACATAGTTCACCTATGGTTATGTAGAGATTCTAGGCTGATTTCTCTTGTAACTCCACTCTAGGTTCTGCCACTCTTCCCCTACTTACTTACTTATTCACTTACTTATTTGCTTACTTATTTATCCAGTTTCTATAGCCATCCATCTCAACCAATGACCAGTAGCAATGGTATGCTTCCTATCTTTACCCTTAAGGGTTATGTAAACAATTATCTTCTGTTAACTGCTCATCTGCTATTGATGAGAATCCATGGGGGGGGGGGAAAGGGCCAACTTCTTTTGGCCTTAATCAGCCTTTGAGTGACATGTTGGAAGTCATGCTTAATAATTAAGAAATTGGTGCTTCCAGGACCAGGACGTGAGTAGTTCAAAGGCAATAATCAGTGCTTTTATTTCATTTACATGTAATTAATTTGAAATTAAATGAGCTAAATACAATTAATATTTCTTCCGTTTACAACTTATTACAACCTAGAGGAAACATTTAGTGGAACATAATATGATACGTGTGCAGTCATGATAAACTACATTTCTACATAGAATATTTGCATTATCCTTATACCAACATACTTTTCACAACATTTGAAGCCACAGTTAAAATGCTTTTGCATACACAGTTTCTTAGTGGCTTATTTGTGGATTACTTCCATTTGACAATAATTTTAAATACCATTAATTTAACATAATACATCAGATCATAATATCCAAAATTCTAGTTCTAAAGATATTTGACTATTAAAATGAAGAATGTAACTAATACCAAATGAATTGTTCTATTAATAAGCATGCTTGGAATTGAGGTCAAAAGATAATTATAGTAGTAACATCTACAGCTTAAATCTGTTAATATCCACGGAAATCAACTTCTGTCACTTTAAAAATAAATAAAGCACCTTTCAAATTTGTTCTGTTAAGATTTTGTCTTTATGTCTAATTGCTGTTAATTTAATATTTTCTCAAAAAATAAATTTAACCTAAAACAGATAAATCAACAAATTATTTCTGTTAATTTATAATATGTTAAAGAAATGCTTTTAAAAATCCATTGCAGATTAGATTATAATGAATATGTATCAAAATGTACTTTTGGCTTGGTAAACAGTTCTTCAGAGAAAAACGGATAGAATTTAGTGTTAGTAAACAGCTTGTTACTCTTACCTCTTCCAGTTAATTCTTGTATCTGAACAGTGTCCCTACATGGCTGTTGACATTGTGCTTCGAGCTGAGCAGTTTTCTGCTTTAGTAACTGAATCTTGTTATTGTTTGATATCAATATGTTTGTCAATTGCCTGGAGTTTAAAAAGTATAATTTAGATTTATCATAGGAACACTTGAAACTGACATATGATGGTCTTTCCTTCTATGAAAGAAAGCAGTGAGGAATGAAAGAAATAGAAGGGAAAATATGAATATGCATTGCCCTATATCATCTATCCACTGAATTTACAGATTGAGGTGGGATTCTAAAATAATCCTTGCCTCTTTATGTATTCATTGTTTAACCAGAGAATTCCGAAGGGGACTAACAGTGTGGAGATCAGCTCCTGTATATATGCTTACATGAGGCACTCTACCAGGCCCAGTAGTTATAATGAAAAAATGGAAATATAAAGATATAATTCAAACTAAGGAAATTAGAAAGGCTCTAAAATGAATAAATTATTCTCTCTTATAGCTTGAAAATTATTAAAAATTGGTAACTATAACTTTAAGAGGTCCCAACCATTGTAGCCAACAAAGGAAAATATTGGGAGCTAAAATTCAACATATCTGGAGAATGCCAAGTTTGTTCCTTCCTTACCCCAAAGGATTGCTACATGGATAAGGCGTGCTAGATAAGTAAGTCATGTATATAGTGTGATAACAAACAGATATTCTCTCAGCATTTTTACTATTCTTTATCCTTTGTAAAATATAAAGGTTATTTTAAAAGTAAGTAATTCTGCTTTAGTTAAAATACAAAGCAAACTCTGTGCTTCTTTTAGATGAACAAGAACTGTCTGATGTAGTCTGGCTCTATTCATATTTACCTCTCCAATTAAGTACATACTGTAGTATAAACTACAATATAAACAGTTTAACTTTCCCTGATGCCTGAATTTAAAGTAGGCAACTAATATGACATGGAAAATGTGAAGAATTTGCTTTTTACACATCAGCTTTTTACACATCAGCAGAAATTCTGTTGGAATAATAGATGGAAACCCTTTAATTATATTCACACAATGTTTTTGCATTCTCAGCACTGAAAAAAATAATTAAACCTACTGTACTGTATTTTCATGGCCCACAATGATGTTTTCATATCTAATAATTTCATCAATGATTTGTCTGGACTTCTGTGTATAACCTGGAATTACATCTGTAAAAAAAAAAAAGCAGAGGATGCATAAAACATTAAGGATACCAAACTAAATAATTGAGATAGTAAAACTCTTTATGGTAGCCTTTGATTCTCACTTGACTGAGCTGCTGGCTGTGAGACATGCACTTGTCGGATATGGCGTATCAAATTGTCAGTTACTCCTGAAGAATTAGAAATGTCCCCCAACAATTGTTCAAGGATCTGCAGATCTCGATCAACATCCGAATTATATCTAGTTATGAAATCTGCAATGCCGCATGTTGTAGGACAAAAGTTGCCCTAAAGGGAAAGAGAATTTTTTTAAAATCTTATTAACTAACAAGAAATGTTTTATAGCTTGACAGTAGAGTTTTGTGGTACAATAAAATGATTTTCAATAAATAAAAGTCTAAACACAGGAGAAATGAAAACAAGATGAATAATACGCCTATAGTGGATTGTCAGTTGTTAGTCTAAAAAGAATCATGTATTTTATTAAGAACTTCATGTTTACAGCTAACAATCTATAATAACCACCTCATTAGAAAGGACTGCAAAAATAACACAGATATTGACTTACGAATCGTTCATCCAAGATACAGCAGTTTTCACGTGTGGCAAATTGCTGAATAAAAGAAAAAACAACAACAACATGGCATTTCAGTGATTACGATATTTTGGTGACTACATATTTTACATAGACCCATACCCTGCCCAGCTAAACTTACTGCAGTACAAGTTGAAAAGAAGAAAAATAGAAGAGGCAGCCACTTTTTAAATTTTGTCAGCATTGTGTCTGTTGCTTCCAGAACCGCCAAACACAGGAGAGGTAGTGCTTAACCAGTGTGAGTTTGTAGACTTCAGAGAACTGAACTTATTCTCTAAACTGTGCAGGGGCAGCTTAAGAGATCATGTGGCGTTTAGTGGGTGAAAATAGGTGGGGCTGAGACACAAGGAGGACAGCCTCTTCCGGGCCCTAGTGGGAGTGTTTCCCGAATTTGCTGGCACCCATTCATTGCATTTTTAACACTAGACGTTTCTCACTTACCTCTGCCAGAAAAACCTATGGAAGGATAACTTGCCCTATGAAGCAATTTCTTCCAGTAATCATTTGCAATAAGGCTGACTTGCTTGTTTGAAGGACCTGAATGCAAAAGATAACAAACATGTCAAGAGTAGCTGGCTCTCACAATTTCCACCCTGTTCTTAGGGGAAAAGCTAAATTTTGGTAAACATGACTCATCTGAAAAAAAAAAAAAACCAACTTCAAGCCATAGCAATATTAAAAGTTTCTGAGTGCAACACAAGAAAGCAGTTTTGTTAATTAGGAGTGAAAGAAAAATAGCTCTTTTCTTCTTCTACATTGCCTCTAACTTCTTCTAGCTCCCCTGATTTTGCACTGACTATCAGTTTAAAAAATATCAGTCATATTGGATTAAGTAATAGGACAAACAGTACTTCTGCATCTTTCTAATACGCCCTGATGATCAAAGTAAAAAGAGAGCTCAATATGGTAAACTTGTTTTATTGCATTAAGGGCAACAGAATTATAGCAAAAGATAATCTAGGAAGTATGAAGCAGGATTAATTTCTATAATACAGAAATGATTCTATTGCTTTTTATCCTACAGCTACAAGCATTTAAGTTGCATATTATATAGGTGTTAAGGTTTCCCATTGATTAGCAGATCCTGTTTTTTCAGTGAATAAAAATTCTGATATACATATATAGTAAGATATCTCATATTACAAAAAAAAAAACCACAAACCCTACCATTATTTGGGGCTAGCACCAGATGTATTTTACTTAATAATTTCTTTATGTATTTGTACATTGGCAAATATTCACAGTGGGTTACAACATACTAAAAACCAAGGAAAGCACCCATATTAAAACACAACATTTAATTATAATAATAACAGCCCTTGATAATAAAAAAAGACATCTGGTTAGGAACAATCACAATAATTCCCCCTTGGGAAAGTTCAGGCTTTAAAAGCATTCAGGAAGTAGCCAGCTTAATTTCTAGAAGGAAGAAGCTCCATTAGTTTATTTATTTATTTATTTATTTATTTATTTATTTATGAGACTTATATACCGCTTTAAGTGCAAGCACTCTCTAAGCGGTGTACACCAATAAGCAATGTATATATATTTTACATTGCCCCCAACAATCTGGGTCCTCATTTTACCTACCTTGGAAGGATGGAAGGTTGAGTCAACCTTAAGCCGGTGAGATTTGAACCGCTGACCTGCTGAACACAGTCAGCTAAAGTGGCCTGCAGTACTGCACTCTAACTGCTGCGCCACCTCGGCTCTTATTAGTTCCATAAGGGGCCACCACAAAGAAGAAGGGGTCAACTTATATTCCAAAGCACCAGAAAGTATGTCAAGAAACCATGGATGGTTTCACTGGAACTTTTTAAGAAAAGAATGGACAGTCACCTTTCCGAAATGGTATAGGGTCTCCTGCTTGAGCAGGGAGTTGGACTAGTTGACCTCCAAGGTCCCTTCCAACTCTATTCTGGTTGATTGATTGATCAAGTAAGGTGCTGTAGCAGAAAAATAGCTCTTATTAGTCTTAGCTTCTCATGGGTAGAGATGAATATAAATAACATCGTAGAAATGTAAACTTTGTGTCATATGTGTCCTAAGGCCTAGTGAAATTTGCAAAAATTTGGTATTTTCTACATACATTGCCTTCAGTTAAGGCAGCAGCACATAATAATTTAGAAACTAAAATTAAATTTTAAAACAGTTAAAATTTAAGTATTCATGCAGAGATTTTAGCCTCATGCAACTTTATAATCAGTTACCAGTTTTTAATTCCTCAAGATGCAGGTAAATGGGTTCAGGATAAGATTGTAACAATTGTAATTTAGAACTTGCAACTTGAAATCAGAATGGCCTGTAATAAAAATGAAACTCAAAATTATATCAGAAATAAGATACCAATTTCTCATCTTCTTATAAACCATGGATATTTATTAACCAATTTTCTATAATTGTATAATCTCCCAACAGAAATATGTTAATATTTTCCCCTGAAACCTTCCTTGAATGACTTCTAATCTGTGGTAAATCAAGCAGTTCACGAAGGTTATAGTGGCTATCAATTAATCTATATGCAGAAATTATATATGCACTAGAATATTAATCTTATTTCAGGAATTTTGTAAATCACATTTGATGTAGCAGTTCAAAGGGTTGGCACAGACAATTCTGTTCTCCAATATCTCATGAGTGATGCTTTTCTCCAGGCCCTGCTGCTTCAATACAAGTAGTCCTTGACTTACAACAGTTCATTCAGTGACCATTCAAAGTCACAGTGGCATTAAAAAAGTGGCTTATGACCATTTTTTACACATATGACGTCTCCATGGTTACATGATCAAACTTCAGACACTTGGCAACTGACTCAGATTTATAAATGTGCAGTGTCCCGGGATCATGTGATCACTTTTTGCGACCTACTGACAAAGTAAGTCAATGCGAAAGTCAGATTGACTTTACAAATGTGTAACTAACTTAACAACTGCAGTGATTAACTTAACAACTGTGGCAAAAAGGTCATAAAATGAGGCAAAATTCACCTAATAACTGTTTCACTTAGCAACAGAAATTTTGGATAAACGTGTATCGAATCGTATTGGAGTACAAAACAAACATACTTTTTCATTATTGTAATATAAGGATTGTTAAACTCATCCCAGACAACGACTATGTATTTATTTACATTATTTATAATGTGAACAGAAAATTATCACAGGACTTTTGTAACTGACAGTACAATATATTCATTATATAAATAAATGAACAAAAAATATTGTCTGACAGATTACTAACTAGAAGAATAAAAACACAATAAAATCATTACTTTTCAATAATAATTAGCCCAAGAAAAGAATACCTCACAATATATCAGAAAGATAAAAGAGATAAGATATTCTTCCCCATTTGCTTTTTTGCTCTTTCAAATGTGTCCTTAGAAATGTTTTTCCAGAAACAAAACAATAATAAAATAACGTGCAATGCATTTTTAGAGGATAAAATGAATCCTAGTATATCCCAATTGAGCAATTTTGACCTTTCTTGCAGTTTGCTTACCAATTTCTCAAGAACTTCTAAATGATTATATATGTGGAGAGACAAAGAAGATTAGGTCTAGATTACTGTGTCTCTTTCAAGCTGATAAGAAAGGTGAAATTGGTATTAGGTTTGTTCAAACTTTCTAAATTATATTTGTTATGCAAATTCTACTTTAATTCAATTCCTGTGATACAAAATGTTCTCAGTGAGGTGAACATTTTAGGTTATCAAAAACAATGAGATGTTAGCAGTCTGTAACATATTTTCAAATAAACCTGGGAAATAGTTCAGGATATTGGTAGAACATTTAAATGCATTACTACTAATTTTAGAGTCCATTATTGGATTTAGATTTAGAATGGAATCCAAGGCTGATTTTGGTAACCAAGGCAGATTGTTCTGAGGATATGACCACATGCAAAGAACTGCAAGTTTAATATATTCTTATATATGCAAAAATGTAAACTCACAGAGGCCAGTTCCTTAGCTGGCAAAAGCCTCCATAAACATCCAGTTCTTTCCAAGAACCTAGGGGTAGGCAACCTTGGCTCTTTTATGACTTGTGGACGTCAACTCCCAGAATTCCTGAGCCAGCATGACCTCCACGAGTCATAAAGGAGCCAAGGCTGCCTAACCCTGATCTAGGATGTTGTAATGCATCAATATGGTATAGGTAGTCCTTGACTTACATTTAGTGATTGTTCAAAGTTACACATCTCATTGAAAAAAGTGATTTATGACTGCTTTGCAGATTTATGACTGTTGCAGCACTCACAAAGTCATGAGATATTACATTTAAATTATTATATTTTCCAAGCATGATATAATAGGATAGAAATTTGAGAGGGAGAACCTTGAATTCTCTCCCTGCGCAAAGATAAGGAAAAATATTTTTGCAAACTGGTACATTTTTTTTCCAGGGTATTTTTTAAAATTTCAGATATAAACCCTATCTCTTTGCCTAAATATGCACTGCTGTAAGATCCTCTTTGATAGCTCTTTTTTTTTCTGCTGAAATCAGTGCCAAGTAGAAAATGCATCAAATGGAAAATGGTGTTAGGAAAAAGTTTTTTTTAAGGGAGAATCATTTTTTTAAATTATTTATGTTTATCCTGTCTTTATTATTTTTTTAAATAATTAAATACTCCATCTTCCTACTTTCCCCATATATTCTTGTAGCCTTTCAATAATATGCTTTGCATATCACTAAATCATGGTTGATTTAACTATGGTTTTAGTGAACAAATAATTGCTGGCTTTTCATACTGTACTAAACAGGTTGCAATTTACTAATTACCGTGGCTGAATCTGTACATCACAACATACTAAAGCAAGACAGGTATGATATATAAATCCAACTGTTTGAGACAAAAGTTTTTCTCAATTTTAAAAACATCTTTGATTCAGCATTATATTATTTTAGCTGTTCTCCCACCATGTTGTTTTAATGGCTTTGCTTCATTTTGTTGTATTTGTTCAGTTGTTGCTATTTTATAGATCAGGCTGGACATTATGAATAAAACAATCTATTTCAGTTATAATGAAAATATGAGGGTGCAGAGGCAGAAGACATGACAAATATCTGAAGGACAGAGATGAGCAGTTTATCTTTAGTGGGTGAGCTAGAACCACATCTACTTGAGATGGGTAAATCTGCGGGCCATTTTTTCAGTTCCTATAATTTTATACTTTAAAATTAACTTGAGACCAATGAGATTTATTTCTTGGTGAATTTGTATTACAGTGCAGTTGTGCAGTTATTGAAGGGACTTTGGTATATTTATAAAAGGTTATTTTTTTAAAAAAAAGTTCTTTA